ATTGAAAATCTATTATCCATATTGCCTAATTGAAAATCTATTATCTATATTGTATATATTTTATCTATATAGTCTAGTTCATATTTTGTATCTATATTGCCTGGTTGAGAATCTATTACTTATATTACCTAGTTGAAAATATATAATGTATATTGCCTAATTGAGAATCTATTATGTATATTGTGTAGTTGAGAATCTACTACCTAAATTGCCTATTTGAGAATCTATTACTTATATTACCTAGTTGAAAATCTATTATCCATATTGCCTAATTGAAAATCTATTATCTATATTGTGTAGTTGGGAATCTGTTACCTATATTGTCTAGTTGAAAATCTATTATCTATATTATGTAGTTGGGAATCTGTTACCTATATTGTCTAGTTGAAAATCTATTATCTATATTATGTAGTTGGGAATCTGTTACCTATATTGTCTAGTTGAAAATCTATTATCTATATTATGTAGTTGGGAATCTGTTACCTATATTGTCTAGTTGAAAATCTATTATCTATATTATGTAGCTGGGAATCTGTTACCCATATTGCCTAGTTGAGAATCTATTATTCATATTGCCTGGTTGAGAATCTATTATTCATATTGTTTAGTTGAAAATATTTTTTCTATATTGCCTAGTTGAGAATCTATTATCCATACTGCCAAGGTGAGAATCTGTTATCTCTATTGTCGATTTGAAAATATATTATCTATATTGTCTAGTTGGGAATATATTATCTATATTGTCTAGTTGGGAATATATTATCTATATTGTCTAGTTGGGAATATATTATCTATATTGTCTAGTTGGGAATATATTATCTATATTACCTAGTTAAAAAATACTTCTTTTCAACGTTACCACAGTAAATACTGTTTTTCAGTAGAAGCTTAGATTAGTCGTCTGATTATAAGAACATGTCATAAAGTTTGTTAGTTATGTTCATAAGATAAATGAAACTAAAATCATTATAGATCTACTGAGGCATGTGTTTTATACTGGATAAAAATATGTCAGATAAGAGTGTAAAACTTACATTATCAAACTAGAACAGGTGCCTAATACAACCCAGGAACTAATGATGTTACTAGAAAAACCATGCAAAAAATATAATCTGTTGTGAAGTTTCACGGGCCATTAACTCAAATAAATAATTAGAAGGGCTTTTACTAACTAAAGAAAATTACCTACAACCAATATTCAAGGAAACGATTCAGGTAGCTCGTAAATGTAATTACAGGATGATATGTTTTGTTAATCCACATATAATACAGTTGTACGATTTATTAGATGTCTTACTAAATGTGATGTTTTAAAAGTAACATACTTTGGTTCTTTACTTAAAGTTTAATCAATCAAGTCACATCACACTCTAAAGACATAACACGACAGTATGGGCGGAAGTGGGTTCATATCCATCCCAAGAGATTAATAATATTATCATTTTTTAGCAGTTTGTGTTGACTAACGCTGTTTTTAAGCTGAAATCCCTAACAAAATCATTTTCTATTTATTTCTATATAACTTTGTCTAGCCATTCATTTATAGAGTGTTATAATGACAAAAAAAAGTAATGGGTTGAACAGTGTATGGATGGATGTTTACTACTATATAAATCTTTGGAAGGGATTCATTACTCCAGTATAATTTACTTTAATTTTACACACATCAAAACGTAATATATATATATATAAATCCAAAAACTAAATTAATTATATTTATTCTTCGATGATTTTAAGAGAAACAAAATTCACTAACATGTTCTTGATAGTAAAGGATTAGCTGTGAAATAAAACATTTAAGTTCTCGACAACTTACATTTAACTTTTTTATTTCGTTGGTATATCAAATGACAATATTAATCCCATGATGCATTTATTCCGAGAAGCCGACATTTTAATAGGGATAGTTAGAGAAATAAAAACAACTAAACGTTAATAAAATTGAATTAATAATATTTTGATATATTTTAATTGTGTGGTACATATAAATTATTATATGAAAATTACAAGTGCATTTGAATCAGATGATAAAATTTGTTGCGTAATCTGAGATTTGCTAAACAGTTGAAGCTTGAACCAAAAATAATATTTTGATACTCTCTTAAAGATTAAATTTTAGCGGCACGTAGCAACAACATGTGAAAAAAATTCAAAAACTTTTGTTATTGTTTAATGATAATTATATATTCAATCCAATTTGAAGAAACGCACTTTTTGTAGAATTATTCATATACATCACGACCTATTCAACATAAACTATGCAGTTCATAGCAAAGCTAAAGAATATATTTTCTGAGCATGCGCTTCCAGACATTCCAGCTGACATGAAAGAGTTCGACCGACATCAAAGCAGTGGAGAGTCAGCAGCGACAACCACATCTTCTGAAGGGAGTTAGAGTCGATCACAGTTGACGTGTGGCCAGTCACCATGTGGCCTGGAGTCCTTGTGATTATCTGGACTGGAATAATGACCCATGGACTTTCAGAAAGGTTAGGAATATTTACTAGAATCGTTAAACTTCTTTTTATGGTACTTATATTCCAAATTATTTATCTTTAGTAAAGCTAAAGAAATAAAAATATAGGAGTGTGTATACAAAGCTAAAGAAAAAAAAACAATTATTTTATAAAAAAATATTATTCCCCTTGCCGTAGCTTTGATTTCTAATAATAAATCAAACTCATGAAGCGATTTAGAAATCTATGATATTTCTTGCTAAACTGAACCGACGTACACTAGAAATATCAATTTTGATAATCATCTTTTTTATGTTTATTTGAATTTCTCTACTATTCAAACTAACCGTTTGTGTTATAAGGAATAAAATGGCTCCAGATTAATCTGAGTATCGGCATACTGGCTAAACAAGAAACAACCATTACCTCGTATTAAAGCTTTACATCTATGTTTCAAGTATTTCAGATCAACAATGTGCCAATGAGACTGTTTCGATAAAAAGACTAAACAGCGAAAACAACTAAGTACAACTTACTTCGTTAGAGTGAAAACCATATGTTTGGACACACATATAGACAACTTTATGTAACCAGTATTTGTAAGGTGGTCTTTTTCATTTTTCATATCAACTAAAAAAGACTGAGAATGTAAAGTTTGTTATATAATAATCGATGTTCATAAGTTATGCTGATACATAATTACGGCAACATAAGAAAAATAAATTTTCTTGTTACGTCAAACTTTATTCACTTCCCACAATTGATTAACGTTAGATCTGTAGAATTAGGTATGGAATTTTAGCATATTTGATATCTTTAACTTGAACGGCGCCTTGTGACATGTGAGCAAAACGGCTAAGCCAAGAGATCCCAAGTCTCAGTCGTGGCGATCTATAATTTAGAATTGTTGACCAAACGGAGGGTAACTAGTCTACAGCACCCTCGGCCTACACTACCACTCTTACAGAAGTAGTGAGATTTATTGTCATGGTTACAACTGCTCCAAAAGAAGAAAGTGTTAAGAGGTTCTGCAACATATTTCGATTGGAACCTTGGATGTCGTAATTCACAGCCCGGTACTCAAAACACTAGGCCACACCCAGTTCAAATATATATATATATATATATACGTAAAATACAATACTTCTATTTTTTTGACATCTTGGAATGAAATCGGTTAAAGCATTGCAACAAATCATGCCGCACTTCTATCAACCTTGAGTTACTTAAGATGCTGACAGAGCCAAGCACCAACTTTTTGCAGTGATGTTTGTTTTGTTTTTTAGAGCTAATGTTGGTTATTTTTGTTGTTGTAAGTTGGTTCATTTCTGATATGTTTCAACTGTTTTTTTTCCTATTCATCATAATTACGGTCGCTGGGATTGAAGAGGACTGATTATCTTCTGAAAGGAGAGTCAAACACCTTCACTCAGTAGGTGTGCTGACAGTTACGTTTAAAATCCTGATCTGAAAAAAAAAATGAAAGGGCTGTTACATACTCTTCCCAAAAGTGATCAATTTTCTGTGGCATTGTAGTATGTACAAAATGTCAAAATATAGTTCTGATACATCCCGTTCCACTGCCACATTACGTTGGTTGTTGGTGTCACATGGCTTATTGATTTGCGTGTTGGAAATCTTTTTAATATAGCATACTGAAAAACCCATAGAATACTCAGTTTATATTTGATAAAACTCGCTATTCTTTCTATTATGATACTATAACACTGGTTTCGATTCATATCTTAATTCAAGTACAGAACGTTTTAAATAATTAGAAAAAAGAGTTTCATGAACTCAATAAATTGACAAAATCAAAGAACAGCTACTGGAATATCTTAACATTCTAATGACGCGAAAATACAAGAACGAAGGTTCTCAGCTGCAGTTTATCGCCTTTGCCATTATTTAGCCTTAGGTCAAACGAAGTGCTGTGATATAATCCGTTTTAAGTAACCTTATTTTCTTTCTACTCGTTTATTTTTTTTTTTTCAAAGCTGTTCTATTCACAACCCTCTTTCCATTATCATTTCACATTCTGATTGGAAAGACGAGAAATACGAAGTGAAAGAAAGAAATAAGAGTATTAAATTAAGAAAATGTCTGGGGGACTAAGAAACAAATAAAAAAATCTTCGTGAAGAGAGAAGGTAAGTTGATTTTTAACTCGGAGAGAAAGCTACCAATACTCATTTCATGCTGTCGTGACCAGTGTTTGTCAGGAAGTAGACTAGTGAAGGCCGGTGATAACGTTGGAAAAACGATGTAGCTTACGTCTCTAAATACGCTTATATGTTGCATGAAAGGGAAAATGTCTTTTCCAATTTTATTTCTCTAGAAAATACATTTAAACACATACATATACGTATAATTATAATGTTATTTCAGATATCCGATCAAGATTCATTAAGCTGTTGGGTGGAGCCAATATTTTCTATTTGCTACAGCAACAAACATTACTAATTTATCCATAAAAGTGACGAATTAGTTGTTGTTGTTTTTTTGTGTGTGTAGGGGGGAGGGGGGAGTTGTGAAAAAGATTTAGTTTTTAGAAATTAAAACCTTCTCACATCAGACATCAAAAAGTTAAAACCTATAGAACTTCACTGCAGAATGGAAACGAGAAAAACACAAATATTTTACTTGAAACAAAAACTTTATTTATGTATCACAGTAATCTTTTTGTTTTTTAGTTACTAAAAAACCGCATCTGACTTGAATGACAAAAGCTAATAAACACAAAAAGAGTATCGTTCAAATTCCTTTTTTTACTTGTACATTCTGGGCATGTTTATAAAACTGTTCACGGTGGAGATGGTATTTCAGTTTTCAATAGTTTTGGTTTTTTTATTACTACGTGTACTTTTTCCGACAGCATCAAGGTCACATAAACAAACTCGACTACTATCTACTTGAAATGCTAATAGCAAACTAAAATAGAAAATGTCAAAGATAAAAACAGACATTGTTAAATTACATGATCAAATCGGGGATAAACATACTTTATATTGATAGTTATTTAGGGTTAAACAGAAATCATATACTTGTTGGTGTTGCTAGTAGACTGTTTTCTTAACACTCGGGACTATTAACTGAAAAATAACACTAATGTTGACTGATTTAACTCATAACACTAGTATCAACTGACATAATTAATGATTTTAGGTATTGCCGAGTTGAGTGTGATTTTTGATTTCCTGACTTTTGAAGTGATCTGTCCTGAATAATTACTCAATGCCTTATAAGCTCAGTACCCGATTTATATTGAATGTTTTATTGCTACAAAAGGCGCTGTGCAAAATATTTGAACTAGCATTAAAACATTGTGAAAAAATATTACGTTTAATATAACACATTTTAATCAAATGAATTTGATTTGTAAAGTTATACAATAATAAAAATATGTTATGGACTGCCATAGAAATTTAACTGTGCTAACTACTCTGTCATCGTCTATTTTAACGACTGGTGCAACTCTACATCATAAAGTACTGTTTACCTGGCAATTTCAGTGCTAATGTGACTCTTCTCCCTGCTGTACCGTTATATTATTATAACTGCTACCAGTGTTTCATTGTGATATGCGCTGCCACTTTGAAAGCAAGCTGTTGTGGTATTTAACTGTAATGTGACTCTTCTCCCTGCTGTACTACTGTATAATTATTATAACTCTACATTGAAACACTGGTAGTAGAGTTATACTAATTATACAGCAGTACGGGAGAGAGAAGAGACATATAACGGTTAAATATCACAACAGCTTGCTTTAAACGTAATACAAAGCGTCTAAAGTGGTATTTAACTGTGACTCTTCTCCCTGCTGTACTGCTATGTTATTGTGACTCTTCTACCAGTGCTTGAAAGTTAGATGTGTTACTTTGGAAGCAAGATTTTGCGTTGATTAATTCTAATTTATATATATTATTTGTTCCATAAGGCAATGAGATACTTGCTCTAGTCGATAGTAATATGATAAACCCACTTAAGGTGTTTCGTCGAGATTTGTAGCACATTAAAAATAATTTATTGTGATAGTTTAGTAACTGAGTAGCTTTGCTACAAACCGCACGTTACCATGAAATTTATGACTTTAAATATTTCTTTGTCGTGTTAGTGGTTCAGTAGTAGCATAGCTTTCATGTGAACCATATTGATGTATTATGTTTCAAATCAGGCCCGGCATGGCCAGGTGGTTAGGACGCTCGACTCGTAATCTGAGGGTCTCGGGTTCGAATCCCCGTCACACCAAACATGCTAACCTCCGCCTTTGCCTGGTCCCAAGTCGAGAAAGGGGGAGGGTTGGGCGCGGGGCTAGCAACTCCACCACGTAAAAACCAACCTGCTACCAGTAACTGCAACAACACCTTCCTTTGGCGAGGTGTTGTTGCGGCCCTATGCTCCACTGGGAGTTTACGGGAATAAAAAAAAAAGTTTCAAATCAAATAGGTGTCTTGTTTACTTGTGCCTTTTCTAAAGTTAAGGTTTAAACCAAGAAATGATGTACAAACTTTGTTGATAGGTCTTAGTCTCTTTTTTTTTGTCTAAACTAGTTTATTGTAAGAAGATACATAACTAGTTCTATAGTTACACTGAACTTTGACACAAGGTATTGATTTTGACCTTTGACCAACTACATGAAACGTGTAATTAATACCTTTCCTAGCAACCTTACATGAAGTGTAACTTCATTTCAGTTTCGATGACGAGGAACCCACTTTGAGACTAATAATGGCTGGAGACGGCTTGAATGGGTAATGAAGAAAAACTTTAATACAACAGCAAATGTACAACGTTTCGACAAGGTTTTGTCATCATCAGGTACCCTTGTCGAAACG